ATTTGCGAACTCTATTTATACAATGAAAAAAGGAAAAAACCAAATGATTAATCAATTTCATTTTTATCGATTTCGCCCATTTGTAGGCGTATATTAATTTAATGTTGGAAACAACTTCAAAATCATTGTGCATATATTGAGAGGGCTTCCAGTATGTAAAGTAAACAAAAACAAAATTGTTTTTTTTCCTTTTTGTAGCGTCATTAAAATTCATTCCTCACTTATTTCCAACATTAAATTAATATACGCCTACAAATGGGCGAAATCGATAAAAATGAAATTGATTAATCATTTGGTTTTTTCCTTTTTTCATTGTATAAATAGAGTTCGCAAATGATAAACATTTCATTCAAAATTTTCAAATCCTTCATTTACATATATCTGTGAAACACAACTGCTTAAAACGGTAAATAATCATGTATATGTCAAAAGATTTTAGAACATTCTTCTTTAAAATAAGTCGTTTTTCTCAGTGAAAACTAGGTTTTTTTCTGAAATACAATCGTTTATGATAGTGGCGGAGCCAGAAAAAATTCTAGAGGGGGCTGAGCCCCCTCTAGCTTCAGTTTTGAAGGTTGCAAATAAGTATACTCTTCCATTTTAATGCTAGATAGTTTTCATTCTAGAGGGGGCTCAGAGGTTTCTAGAGGAGGCTGAGCCCCCTCTGGTCCACCCCTGGCTCCGCCACTAGTTTATGGAGATAAGCAGGTATTCGTAGAGAAAGAATTATAGTGATTTTATATTCGAAAAACTTATTCTTATATGATATATATATTATTTCTCCGTAGTATTGCGGTTCGAAAAGTTTCTTCATATACTATTGAAACCAAATTTTGGTATTTTATTGATTTCTTGGTTGTTTTATGTTTCATTTGAGATTTCGGTTCGTAGTTAGGAACGTCTCCAACTCAAACAATTGCTTTTATGCGTGTGGCAGCAAATCCTACTTCCATTATCCAAAGATATATTAACTATATTTGTACCAAAGAGATGTTTGGGACATAAATAACTGTCAATTGAAATCCTAAATGAAATAATTATAAAACAACCGAGAAATGAACAAAAATACAAAAATTTAGTTTCAGCAGCATATGAATTCATGACATCATCGAAAATAGTTCAATCTATTTTCTCGCTATTGTCGTGCTTTGTGAAGTCTTTTTAGGAGAATTTCCTAAAATTTTTAGTGACATGGATAGCTTTCGTTAATTTCAATGCAACAACAATAGTACAAACCCTATCATCAAAAAAGTATTCACCCTTTTCATTATGCGTTTGTATGAGACCAGATCAAGTCTGCAAATATAATCTTATTAAATTTCAATGTATGTTTATCAATAATGAATTTGTAAAGCTGTCCACTTATGAGTTGAGTCTAACGTAAGGCAAATAATTGTACAACACTAGCCACTAGATATTCGTAGACATTCATGAACCAAATTCGAAAACCTCCATATAGTACTCTGAAAAACAAGGAGTTTTGCAGAACCCTTCGAAAAGGTTCTGTAGATTTCTAAAAGCCTCCAAATGTGTCCAAAGTCTCAAAAAAAGGATAAAAAATTCTACAGAACCTTTTGAAGGTTCTGTACAGCAAAAAAAGGTTCCGTGAGAAAATAGGAAACCTTAAGGGTTCTGTACAAAGCCATCAACCGTTGGTACGAAACCTTAATGGTTTTTTACAGAACCCTCAAGGTGTTGTACAGAACTCTTAAGGTTTCGCATTTTCTCACGGAACCTTTTTTTGCTGAACAGAACCTAAAAAAAGGTTCTGTAAGAGATGGTTCTGTGAGTGGGTAAAACGCAGAACCTTCAAAAGGTTCTGTAGAATTTTTTATCCTTTTTTGAGACTTTGGACATATTTGGAGGCTTTTAGAAATCTACAGAACCTTTTCGAAGAGCTCTGCAAAACTCCTTTTTTTTCAGAGTAGTGAAGTGTTTTGAACAAATGGTCTTCGTAATTGTTTGAGAATTTCATAAACATGTCTCTCTTTGCCTTGATTATTGATATCTTTCTATGTGATTGTCAATGTGACTGTTGTATAAAACGATTTCAAAAAAGATAATATTTATCATACTCTAGGCGATGAGTCGTCAACGTCCAACGGAAACAATAACGACTTCAAATGTAAGGCAAAAATGTAATACTCTTGTGTTGAAATTGGTTGACAGAGATGTTGCAGCGAGAAGATTGGTGGAAAGTACGCGGACGCTAGTTCTAGCACGTTTCGATGAATTGTTGAACGAGTATGTGTCTCGGGATAGACAACAATTGCGCTTCGACTTACTACAAGCTTTACAAGAAGCAGAAAATAAAGAGAAATTTCTGGAAGCATTTGTGTTAAGATTATACCAAAAGGCAAATAAAATTGAAGAAGAAATTGCCGTCAGACGTCTTACAGATTATGAACGTGCAAGATTGAACGAAAAAACTGGGTACGAAAAAAATAGTGATGGCAGACAGATAGGTAATCACCATTCAGACGACCGCCGTCCAGCCGATCACTACTCAGGCAGCCACCATCCAGCCGATCTCTACCCAGGCAGCCACCATCCAGCCGATCCATACTCAGGCAGTCACCATCCAGCCGATCGCTACTCAGACAGCCACCATCCAGCCGATCACTACTCAGGCAGCCACCATCCAGCCGATCACTACACAGATAGCCACTATCTGGATCACCACGATCCATATATTCAATAGGACTTGATATACGGATAAAGTCATAAAGTAGTATCATCTAATCATGATATCAGTACATATGGAAATTTGTATTAATTCTTTTTTCATCAACACGAAATAAATAATTGAGAAAAGTCGTTAATGATACATCAAATGATCTAGTTTTTGATGAACTACCAGAATTAGTACACTGATCTAAAAATCTGCATTGAAATTTTGTATTTCAAGTTTGTTCTTTAACAATCGATGAATTGTACAAAATTCAAGGGGAACAAACTAATTTCAAATGATTTCCGACATAATATTGACTTATCATTAGGTTAAAAATGAATGAACCTAATTCAGAATAGCAAACACTTATGAAGGGTGTGGGTGTGCGTGTGGGTGCGTGAATGTGGGTGTGGGTGGGGTGCGGGTGTGGCTGGACGTGTGTGGGTATGGGTGTGGGTGCGGGAGTGGTTGTTACTCTTTTCCTAACCTACATCCACACCCTAAATAATTTTATTTTTATTACCGCATGCCACTTTTATATTAATATATTACAATCGGTGTTAACAAGTTCTGTAATAGAATATCGTAGAAGTTAAATCCGTTTTTTTCTGTTAGACACGCCAGGATCTTAGAATAGAGGGTATCCGAAAACTCGTATGACTTTCATCATAGTTTTTTTCATCCGAGTATATTTGTTTGATCTATTTTATAATCCAGTTTCGATGTCTTAAAGCTATACAGGTATGACTGCAGAGGCAATACACACGTCCTCTTCTTTTTAAAGAATATAGAGAAGTAAAATTATACTCAGATTTAATCATACAATATCAGAATATTTGCAGAACAGTCAAAAGAAAAAAAATGAAATTCTTATGAATTTTTATTTTTCAATGGTGTACAAATTTGTCAAAAAAAAAGTAACATCGAGGATATGACTGAATTAGAGTATAGTTGCAGCAAACCATTGCACATACCTACATCAGCACTCAGACCAGCCAAGCACGTACTCCTGGTTATGAAAACATTTAAAGCAAATAAATCATCACAACTGAAATTTATGCGTATACAATTATCGGTGTCTATTTTTCTCTTACTATGGCTAACAAAAGTAAATATTATTTTGTAAATAAACTAATTTTATTAATATGATATATTTTTGTAAAAGAAAAAGATTTTGATCCTGATAGTGAACTTAATCAAGCATATAAAAATGCACAACATGTTCATTTTCAAGGAATAGACATGGATAGTTTTGTAAGTTTAAATAAAATTATAATGTTCTTCTAAAAATAATCATTTATTCTAGAATGACTATGAGAACAATGAGAGTGAAAGCATGTGGTCCCACGAGTGGTGTTTTATTGAATCAAATGCTGATTTATTTACAGATTTGATCTATACATTAGGTAGATAAAATATTATGATGTTAAAATTTTTTTATTTTAAACTATTTTCGGAGCTGATGGTGTTGAAGTGAATGAAGCGATATGACTTGATGATGATTATATTGAACGAATAAAGTATAATATCTAATTTTTGAATTGATTTATTTAATAATTCTGATTTTTTAGACTATGTCATGGTTTGATCTTTTTATTTAAACAAAAACAAACAAATACATCAAGTGAAAATTTAATTAAAGATGCACGTCTTCATGAAATATATTTTGGTCGATAAGTAAAATTTATTTTATTGAAGATTAATTATAAGTATTTATTTTGATAGATTTATAAAAATGTTTGTCCAACACAAGCAATTTTATCGGTTTTATTTAACTGTACACATGAAGATCTTAATCTTGGTGCAACATTAACTGAATTTAAAGAATATTCTCAAAAATTTCATCCAAAAGGAGTTGGCCTATTTGATACACAAGTTAGTTTTGTTTTTTATATTTCAAAACTTAATTCATTAGTCTGTTTTTTTCTAATCAATAGATGAAATGTGTTGCTTTATCAAGTCATGGACCAATTCGTGATGTACACAATTGTTTTGCAAAGTTTAATTTAATTTATTTCATAATAAAATAAATATTTTTAATTTTTCGTAGAAAACAATTAGCTGAATTTTATTCAGATGATGAAAAAAAAGAAGAATATGCATTTCATTTCATCGTTTATATTCCATTTAAAGGTTATTTATATGAACTTGATGGTTTAAAAACAGTAAAAAATAATAAAATATTATTAAAAATATTATTGTCTTTTTTTTTCAAGGCTCCAATTGATCATGGTGCTTTTCCGGAAGATAATGAATGTCTTGATGTAGCTCGACCAATTGTTCAACAACGTATTCAAAAGTGAAATTTTTATCAATATTTCTTTCATAAAATTATCTTTAGTTTATTTTAAAGGTTCATTGAAGATAAAACACATTTTCGTTTAATGGTCATTGTCAGTGAACCTGGTAAAAAATATGAACGAGAATTAAAACAAATATTAGCTAGTAATAATCAATTTGAAATTACGGAACTTTAACTATATTGTATTTATTGAATAGATTCTTCATTAACTGATGATGAACGAAATGCTCAAAAATCTAATTTATCTAAATTAATTAATGAAGAAAAACGTAAAAAGGCTCATCGAGTTCGTTTTTTTTCTCTATTCAACAAATTTATTTGTTCTAATAGATTGCAAATTTACGTCGACAACATAATCTTGCAGCTGCTAGCAAACAGGTTATTGTTTTATTCCTTAAACAAAGAAAAGATGATTTATTGATTTAATTTTTTATAGGTTACTGCATCAAATAAGCCGAAAAAAACCACAACCAAATAAGACAGTTCATTTTTATTCTGTTTTCTTTTTATTTGTCTTTCATTTTCATTTTATGATGTCTTTCATCTTGATTTTATGATATCTTTCATTTTATAACAGAAAAAGAAAACATTGATTAATAAAACTAAAAAAATCATTCATCGATTAATTGAATAGATTATCGAATAAAACATCTGCAACGAAAACAGACAAGTGTTTCATAAAATATTTTTTTAATTTTATTTATTTTATTGTGCATCTGTCTCAATTGTCGATGGTCAAGTGTCTTATATTCAAGAATAGAAAATGAAATTTATGCATTTAATCAATAATTGATGGACTAACATGTGTGCGGGCTATGAAAATTCATATTAAAAAAATGTATTGTTATTATTCAACATTCACACATTTTAGTTGCTCGCATCAGAGATAATTTCGTTTTAACATAATGATCATCTAAAGTCTCATCTAATGCAACAGTTGCCGTTTCGATTTATTAGTTTTTTATGTTGAATAAATGAGTGAATACCTTTGAGATCAAAAAGAAGCATATTCTAATGAATAAAATTCGTCATACATTGTATTTTGTATATATATAAGTTCTTTTTCGAACAACACGTATTGACTATGATTTCAACAGAAAGGTAAAAAAGGTTTGCCACTTTAAAAATTCACACTACTTCGATACATTTTATTCATCGGCAATCATTGTAGCGGTAGTATATTGATGGTCATTTCTTCTTTAGCAAACATATTGGTTCTCATTGTTCTTTTCGGTCATTCTGTTGACTTAAATATGAAATAGACTCTTCTCTACAAGTTCAAGAGTTGATCGGCAAAAGCTTTGAATGAATGAAGTAGGATGTCATAGGAATAAAAGTTTGTATCGATGTTATTCGCTTCTAGGGTGTGTGGGTGTGGGTGTGGGTGTGGGTGTGGGTGTGGGTGTGGGTGTGGGTGTGGGTGTGTGGGTGTGGGATGTGGGTGTGTGTGTGGGGGGGGTGGGGCCGTGGGGGGGGGGCGGTGCGGGGCGGAGCGCG